TCACAATAATAAAAACCTTGCAATAATTTCTGAATTTAAAGTTGTAATACCCATATCAGTCATAATTCTGAATTTTTTTTCTGCCATTGGATACTGCATTCATTTTGGTTTATAAGTACAGTAATTCAGAAATGTTTGCGATGTCTTTATTATTATGAAAATTAAAACAGGATACTTTAAGCAAAAAATATAAGCCTGTAATCTAAATTTATATATGTACAAGTACCCAGCCACGTCCACTTGTATTTGTAGTATTTGTATTTTTATCCATCTGATGAGTTAAGCCTCTTTCAACTGATTTTTATAGTTCGTTCTTATGTTGTACTGTTACACCACTGACCCAGGTTAGGGGGAGGGTTGGGATCCCGCTAACATCTTAACCCCGCCACATTCTGTATGTATGTGCCTGTCCCAAGTCAGGAGCCTGTAATTCAGTGGTTGTCGTTTGTTTATGTGTTACATGTTTGTTTTTCGTTCACTTTTTGTACATAAATTAGGCCGTTAGTTTTCTCGTTTGAATTGTTTTACATTGTTATTTTGGGGCCTTTTATAGCTGACTGTGCGGTATGGGCTTTGCTCATTGTTGAAGGCCGTACAGTGACCTACAGTTGTTTATTTTTATGTCATTTGGTCTCTTGTGGAGAGTTGTCTCATTGGCAATCATATCACATCTTCTTTTTTATAATTATTACTATTATTTGTATGCAGCATTTCATGAAATGTTAAAGTAATTAATCTCAAATTTTTGGCCGGCTTATACACTGTTATTGTATGGTGATGTTTGGCAGATGGGCAGGTGGGCAGGGAAAAGTGGGTACCTAATTTGTGTAATCAACTCCTCCTTTGCAGTTTTCCACCGATATCCCTGAAACTTTACAGGAAGATTATGCTATTATTGAATTTGTCTTTATCTTGTTAGATATTTAAGAAAAATTCTTCTTCCCCTTTGTTGTAATTGTAACTACATTGTAAACATTCTACATTGATTAGTCACAAAGATTGGAACCTGTCCATTTGAGATTTTTACCCAATGTTCAACAATCACAACAATAAATGCACACAAAAATGACACCACTTTTAAAAGTTATAGGATGTCTGAACACCCACAAAGACGACACCACTTTCTAAGTTTTAGGATGTCTGAACACCCACAAAGACGACACCACTTTCTAAGTTATAGGATGTCTGAGCACCCACAAAGATGACACCACTTTCCAAGTAATGGGATGGCTGAACACCCACAAAAATGACACCACTTTCCAAGTAATGAGATGGCTTAACACCCACAAAGATGACACCACTTTCCAAGTAATGAGATGGCTGAACACCCACAAAAATGACACCACTTTCCAATTAATGGGATGGCTGAACACTCACAAAGATGACGCCACGTTCCAAGTAATGAGATGGCTGAACACCAACAAAAATGACACCACTTTCCAATTAATGGGATGGCTGAACACTCACAAAGATGACACCACTTTCCAAGTAATGGGATGGATGAACACCCACAAAGATGATACCACTTTCCAAGTAATGGGATGGATGAACACCCACAAAGATGACACCACTTTCCAAGTAATGGGATGGATGAACACCCACAAAGATGATACCACTTTCCAAGTAATGGGATGGCTGAACACCCACAAAGATGACACCACTTTCCAAGTAATGGGATGGCTGAACACCCACAAAGATGACACCACTTTCCAAGTAATGGGATGGCTGAACACCCACAAAGATGACACCACTTTCCAAGTAATGGTGTGGCTGAACACCCACAAAGATGACACCACTTTTCAAGTAATGGGATAGCTGAACACCCACAAAGATGACACCACTTTACAAGTAATGGGATGACGGAACACCCACAAAGATGACACCACTTTCCAAGTAATGGGATGGCTGAACACCCACAAAAATGTTCAACCCTACCACATTCTTAATTTGTTTGTCTGTAAGCAGGAACTGTAATCTGGAAGTGTTTGTTGGTTGCTGTCTGCCATAACTGTTTTTATTCATTGTATTTTAATATAAATCAGGTTGTTGGTTTTGAAACGTTTTCTCCTTTGAATTGTTTCACATTTTAGGCCACTGTACTATATGGCATAAGTTTTGCTTATTGATGAAGGCAATACAATTGGGTACAAGTTGGTAAAGGTACAAGTGAAATAAAGAACAAATGAATATAAACATTTTAGATTTACTAGTAAATAACTGTGCTAAGAACTTTGTCCTATATAACAATTGATTGATTGGTGTTTAACATCACATTCAGCACTATTGGTTATTTTGTGGTGACCAGTTTTTTGGTGGAGGAAGCTGGAGTCCCAGGAGAGAACCACCAACCTTTTGGTAGGAAAACTGACAATCCTTGTCAATTTAGTTTGGAGTTGAAGCCATCTGCCACATGCAGGACTCTAACTCACAACCTCTGTGTTGTCCTTTATAATGAAGTGTTAAAATGATGTCAAGGCCATATGACACATGTCGGACAAATATTATGATATATCAAAAACCAATTTTTCATTTTTTAAGAGAACAATTGAAGGTCTTTCCACATTAAATATCTAAACAATTGATAAGAAGCTACCTGTGGTCTACTCAAAGTTACTATTGGTGTCCAATCATAGGTTTCTGACTGATTCAAAAATATTTATGGTTTCTATACACTTTTATCTGAAATAAGGGAGATAATTTGATACTTCCGGCCTAGAAAATGTTACTTCTGGTCTCATATGATAGTTTCAGTCACACTGATTCCAAAAATATATGGTTTCTATATACTTTTGCTTGAAATAAGGGAGATAAATTGCAACTCCTGGTTAAAAAAAAATCCTGTCTGGTACCATCTGATAGGTTACTTCACACTGATTCCAAGAAATATATGTTTCTAGGTGATTTTAAATGAAATCAGTGCAGGAAATGGCTACTTCCGTTTTACAACAGGTCACTTCAGGTTGACCTTTTCAAGGTCATATATCTACCAACATAATGCAAGACGCCATAGCTTTATCATGTATAAATATGAATTTATAGCAAAGGTCAAAATCTAGGATGTCAAATCTACCTTTGTCTTTGACTTAAAATTCAAGGTCATAAAGCAAGGACCTGAAATCAACAGACCCTAGGTCTCTTCTATGGTTGATGAGTTATATCACCATACAGCTAATTTTAAATATAAGAGGTGAGAAAACTATTAAATGTCAACGTACCCTTTCAACCAAAATTTATGTGTTGCGACATGTCACAACTACCAATTTTATAAAATGTTTTGTCGATATCTTATACAGTGTCTGAGGAAAAGTTAAATAAGCCAAAATCAAAATTAAGGACATGACCTTGACCTCATTTTCATTATGGTGGACCAAGGACCTCAAATCAAAAGACCCTAGGTCCCTAGCACTTATGGTATATGAGTTACTATGACATTTCACTTATATCAAATACAGAAGGGAAAATAACTTCATATGGAATCTCCCGATTGTTTTGGTCAAAAAATGTTTAACCATCCTGAGGATGTAACAAGCAATTTGGTCAAATAATTTTGTCGGTTTCTTTTATGGTTGCGAAGAAGTAGCAATCACAAGGAAAACAGTGTTTGGGGAGATAACTCTTACAAGGAAAAGTGTTCGGTTAAAAGGTGTCAGTTTAAAAGCATATATACTGTTCGATATCATATACCAAATATCTAAGCGACATCTTGCGAAACAAAATGTTCTCACAAGAAATAAAAGTGGCAGAAGAAAAAAAAAATACTAATCAGTACAAAGTCAATAGGTCTTTCCACCTGATCCTTATAAACACTTAATCTGATCCCTTGATGAGATGAAAATATAGGGCAACTTTTACACAGTTGTTAATTAAATTTTCATGTGGTGTTATTTTTTTAACAATTTGTGTTATTAGTTATTTTAGAGTTATTGAAAACTTTTGTTGTCAATAACTCAGAAAATGGTTGACTATTTATTATAATTGCTTGTTTTCGTACCAATATACCTTGACAGTTGTTCTTCTACAGCGGTTGGTTGAAAGTTCTGACCAGTTTTATTTGATGAAAAGAATTGCAATGTTGAATGAACTACAATAGTTGGATTGAAACACTAACAATTAAGTCTCTGTAAAAGATTTTAAGAACATGCATACATTTTCTCTTGCCACTTGCTTTACAATGACTTTGAACATTTAAGTCCCTCCTGAGGGAAACAACTAAAAAGTAAAATAACAAAAATACCGAACTCAGAGGAAAATTCTAAACGGAAAGTCCCTAAGCAAATGGCAAACTCAAAAGCTCAAACACATCAAACGAATGGAAAACAACTGTCATATTCCTGACTAGGCACAGGCATTTCCTTATGTAAACCTGCTTTTATAGCTAGCTAAACCTCTCACTTGTATGACAGTCGCATAAAATTCCATAATATTGACCACGATGTGTGAACAAAACAAACAGACACAATAGGTAAAAATGTCAAAAATAGGGGTTCAGCAGTCAACACTGTGTTATAATCTTAATCACTACAAAAACAAACAAATATGTCAACAAAGACAAACAAAAAGGCATATAGACAAAGCACATCTAATGGATCTCTAATTACAGGGTGAATAAAGGAATTGCCAAATAGAGACTGCTGTTGATTTCTTAATATTCTTTAAATATTACATCTGTGTAATATTTTTATTTTAAAATATTACACAGATGTGTTCCTTAATATGTATATACTTTTTATTACAATGTTTGGGAACCTCTGTATACTTCCTATTTCTAAGGGTTTTCCTGATGTCAAACTAAAGATATTTCGAAGTAAAGTTTGACCTTCAGCAGGTCAGTAAACTACACATTTAAATCAATAAAACATGTAGACAGAAATCCAGGAATGATAAATAGTTAACTTATAACATAATATATATGTGATATGCATGAAACATTTTTCAATACAAAAATAAAACTTTTATAAATCCTGTGCAACAGTATCTTATTTTATACAAAGAAGAAAAAATATTTTTAAATCACACTTTATTATGAAAATTGTAAAACTGCCTCACATAAAAATATTATATTTCATCGCAAGAGAGATAACTCTGGTTCGTCCATTGTAAGAGAGATAACTCTGTACTTATTGTTTATATTGTGGATTTCTTTTAGAAAGTTCACTTAGTCAGCTTTATATATAATATTAAATATTAAAACATTTGATTTGTATAGATTTGTCCCAATGAGGAGCTTCACTGCCTGAGCTCTCACATCCCAGAAATCCAGTCATCCAAGCTTTTTTTATTGGAATCAAGTTTTCTGGTGTGTAAAATTTGAATAAAGTTTTGAAAACATTTCCATTTGGCAAAAGTAAGTGAAATCGATCTTCAGTTTGAGACGTGGCTTTGAAATATTCTAAATATAATTGTGTATTGTTTATGTTAGGTTCGTTGTAGCACTCTCCACTGGATGTGTATCTGGTATTGTAAGTGACGTCACCCATCATACGATGTGACGACTGTGGTATAAAGTTATAGTAAATCACAAATTCTGATGTAACATCAGTGGCACTGAATAACTTAGAACACTCGGTAGAGTTTGATACAAACCAGCCATTTGTTTCATTATAACATTCCGTTCGAAGTTTCTGTGATGTGAGTGTTCCCAAATTTTGTGTTGACGATGTTACAATTTTTATTTTCATGTTTCCATTCTTTGTGAACTTTATTTTTTGCACGGGATGTGGACTTTTTTCTAAGTCGATAAGATCCATGAGTTTTATCCATTCATCCTGTGTATATGTTTGATCTATCCCGTTTCTCAGCTCGTTACTGTTTAGGAATATTCCAACGTGTGGGAAATACTTAGCTGTATCACGCTTCGTTAAAATAAATTCTTTAGGTTTTTGAAATGTAATGTTGTCACCATCCCTTAATATATGGGAGAAAACAAACACTAGAGAAGAGCCTATCACAGATAAAACTAATCCAAAGAGCAGTAATCCAGAACAACATTTAAACGATCTTTTGTTTCTATATTCTCCCCTTCTTCTACGTAGACAGTATCGTATCAAACCTATTAATAACCTGGCAAAACACCCAATGATCACAATCGATGCTTTCGAAATTTGATATATACTAACACCTTCTTCTCGGCAAGCAGCTATAATGACGCTGATTGATATTTGGGGTATTTCCTCCACCCAAACAACAAAGGTGGATAGATAATCCACATCCAGCCAACCTTTTTCATCTGGTCGAAATATATGTCTTCCGAAATTAACTATCTCCACTAGAAATGTCAAAACTCCAGCACAAGAGAATCCAAGTAAAATATAAAGGAGTTTTGTATCGATTGGTCCGAATACCAACCCTTTCTCTTGTAGACGCAATTCATTAAAGAATAACCAGTCACTGAGAAGGTCCGCAAGGTCTACTGCAAATATCACTAGAAATATAAAGACTTGAAAACACAAGTTTCTTTTAAGATTGTACATACAACCCATTGTGTTATCTGAAATGTAAAAATATGTGAAATTAGTATTAAATATACCAATGAAGACAACACAAAATTAATATTAAGGTTTCCATGCATTGCCTTGAGATAAACTTAGCTTAGGTTTTGCTCATTGTTGAAGGCCGTACAGAGACCTATAGTTGTTAACGTCTATGTCATTTGGTCTCTGGTGGAGAGTTGTCTCATTGGCAATTATACCACATCTTCCTATTTTTATATTAGCTGTTGATTTTGCTTGTCTAGCTACAATGTACCGACATGTAGTATTAATATCCATGTACTTAGGAGGAAAATAAACAACAATTTAAATATAGAACATGAAATAAACTGTTGGGACATATTTGAATAACTTTTTCTTAATGTTAAAATTCTTTGTGAAAAAAGTAGTACTATGGTATCACTCAATCTCTTCTGTTCTTAAAATATAACTTCATGGAAATTTGTTGTTATTATTAAATTGTAAATACAAACCAACAAATTATATATTTTATGATATCAACTGTAAACTGTAAATATATACATACCAGTTGATTTTGTCCTTTAGTACTTGTCTGGCTTGCTTCCTGTGAACAAATAAAACAATACCAATGTTATAGAGAGATAATTAGGAAGTGATGGTTAGGATTCAAACAAAAGGTCATTCATGTTTCTTCCTTATATTTCTCTGTGTATTGTTTGAACACTGAGTTTATTATATACATGAGGATGTTACTGTGTCACTGCTATGATGGTCTAGGATGCTTTAGAAATAAGGAGATGTAGTATGATGACCAATGAGACAACTGTCAACCAGGAACTAAATGAAGTGTATGATGTAAGCAGTTATAGGTCATTGTACGGCTTTCTAGGAATGAGCAAGACCCTTTAGTACAATGGTCAAATGCATCAGGGTTTTGTACAAACAGTTTGCCCCAAATTTATTTTCATATTAAGGCTAAAATAAATGACATATCTTCAAGACAGAAAATTTAAGTAAAAGAAGGATTTTCATTAAAGGATGATGATGATGTTCTCTGTGACTGTTTCTATCAGCTAAGTATAAGTAAAATTTAACAAAATCTTTTTGAAATCAAAATATTTATATATTTTCTTGGTCCTACCTTTTATTAAAAAAACAGTATAAAATCTTACATGCTGATAGTGCCACCACACCCTAATGGTAATTGTATATATAGCTTCAGCAATAGGTGAGAAACCTCAATACCAGTAATCAATAGGACATAAATAGATTATCTCGTAATAAGATTTCATTATTCCAGTCAGGTGAAATTTTATGCATAAAAAATGACATTGTATATTTAACTGTGTAAGGAATGGAGAAGTGCATTCTTCACCAATATCTGCACTTTTCTTTATATTTGATTAAAAAAACAAAAAACTCAACTGACTAATTTTAACAAAATATTACCTTGAAAAGTACCTTGTTTTTTTTATTTTTATTTTTTTTCATTGAACACCTTTTTGAAATCTTCATGACCTTTATTGAACAAGTTGTCTGAAGCCTGTATTTTTTCAAACTTTCATATATCACCTTATTTTACCATATTTCTTACCTTATTTTGATGAAGCCATTATTAGAAATAATCAGGTGTATATATGATCTAGATAATCATTCTTATGACGACTAATGATGACAAATTAGTAAGAGGAGGCCCTTCAGAGGTCAATCATCATCAAACCCAGCCATGCAGGAATTTTTATAATGATTTCTTTGAAAAACATTTTAATTACATGTATTTTTACAAAGATATTGTTAAACCTTGTATCTTTGGGCAGTAAAGATGACGTAGTGTAATATCTAGTCCCTGCTGTGGGCCTCAGGTAAATTTCTTATAATGTATGATTGACATGTCCATTTCTGATGTACATTACAAGTTTTTGTAGTCATAAAATCATGCTGACAAATTTCCTGTAATTTATAACCCTCCCCCTTTTTATTGTATAAGTTTTTATAAGTAATTACAATTTAAAATTGAAATCATAATTTATCCTTCCTTATTGTTGAAGTAAAATAAAGAAATAAAATTATATATCAACAACAATTATTTTTTAAATCAAACTGTAAAAATTTAATTTAATTGTGATATAAGAAAAAAAGGATTCAACAGATAATATTTACCTGGATTTTTTTCAATGGTTACTTCCAGCATCCCATCACATGAATTTCTGACATCGTGACTGAAATAGCTGAGTTCAGGAAATAAACAATTCAAGCAGTTATCATATAAGTAGGTGTTTATTACGTTCGTGCATTAGAGTACAATTTTATTTCAATTTTAAAGTTTTCTTCACATACTAGTTTTTTTTTTCTATGTGAACTTACTGAAGTACAAAATATTTGATTTAATTGCAAATTTGTAACACTTATTTATAACGTAAACGTGGTATTATTGTCAAATTTTACATTTGGTTGTGCTTATATAGACAAGAGGGACAGAATAATCTTTTACAGACCTTTGTATTACCAGTATATCTAATGGATCAGTGATTACATGCAATGATCTAATAAAAAAAAATAGTTTAACTTTGTTTTTTTTATAATTTCAGGAGAAGAATTACAGAAAAAAGCTCTGGAAAGATACAACACAGTTAAGGTAATGCACACTAAAGATAAAACAAAGTGTAATAATTCACACTCAAGATAAAACACAGTACAAGGTAAGTCACACTCAAGATACAGTACAGTAAAAGAAATTCACAAAACAAATATATATCACAAGTTAGTTAATTCATATTGTAGCTCACACTAAAGATATCATACATGGTAATTCATACTCAAGATATCACACAGATTAATTCACACTAAAGATATTACTGCATAATTCATACTTAAGATATCACACATGGCATTTTACACTCATGATATCAAACAGGTTAATTCACACTAAAGATATCACACATGGTAATTCATACTAAATTTGTACCACAGTTTAGTCATTTCCTCTGAGAACATACCATTGAGGTAAATTACACTGAAGATATTACATATTTAATAGGGCATTTTCAATACAGGTACACCTTTGAAGGTATAAAAAGTTTAATCAATAGATTTCAAGTAAATTAAAATTCAAAAGTATGATAAAAATTATAACAAAAAAATTCTGTATGAGGAGAAGCAAAAGAGTGAAAAGTTGCTGTCACACTAATGTAAAAATAAGAAATGAAATTGTTAATTAAAAATCTAAAGTTTCTCAATATAGATAAGCCAATCAAAATCCTTGGATCAAGAGCATTGTTATCAAACAAAGATTTGATCTTGTTTGGAATTTTGAAATGGTATTCCACTGTCTGTCCATATGTCAGAATTGTAAAAATTGTGATCATAGTTGTAGTGCATAATCATTTGCAAAAAGGTTTTACAGTCTAAGAAGAAAAGCGTGGCTGATTGATAGAACTGAGGGCAGGGGACTCTTTAACAACTTGTTTGTTTTTATAAATTTTGATGCTGTTTTTATTGTGTTTGTTTGATATGTATGTATATATGTTTATTGTGTTAATACATGTTGGTCACAAACTGTAAAGTTTATAAGACAATAAAATATTTGATTTGATTTGATAAATTCAATGATCGGGATATCACATGCCTTTAGCAAAGTTCTCAAATTATAGAGACAGCAAGGTTGACCACAGAGGTCTGAATGATGTTTCAAGGCATGCAAGGACTGTTTACTTCATCAGAAGTCCTTCATATCTCAGCACACTAACAAGTCTGTCAGTACCTCATTCTTTGTATGATCAGATAATGAGCAACTCAAGACGTTCAAGCAAGCATGTACATTTGCTTTTAGACAATTTCAGCTATATAAACTGAAGGTAATGATGTGAGGAAAAAATCTTCAAAAACATGCATCAAAGGGAGATAACCCAAATAAATAATTAAATCTGAAGCTTTTTAGTCTCTTTCCATCTTTAGCCTGATGTTTGACTGGATACTGTGTAAGAAGATAAGGGCCTAAAACTATCAGCATAATAAAATCATTTGTACTTTCATGTGTCTATATATATCTTGTGTCTGAGAGCAACAAGGCTTATAAGGACTAAGTTCTAACTCCCAGTAAAAGAAATATTATTAATTATTACAAATAGTTTTTCAAATAAGACAAAACTCTCTTAGTTGATTTTGGGTTATCTTTCTTCTTATTCAAATAATTCATTTCTTTATTTAGGGATTACAACCAGAAAGACTGGTTTCAGGTTCAGATGATTTTACTTTGTATTTATGGAACCCAGAAGAAGAAAAGAAACCAATTTGTCGTATGACGGGACACCAGCAGTTAATTAATGATGTAAAGTTTTCCCCAGACACCAGATTAATAGCTAGTGCTTCCTTTGACAAATCAGTGAAATTATGGGATGGCAAAACAGGACAGTAAGTTGATAATGAACTGAATAGATTTCAGTTACAATATTGAAGGTGATATTTCAAATTATTTATCAAATATTTAATGTTTGTAAATTGAAGTTCTTTGTAAACATTTCATTTGAGCTGGTATTTTAAAAGGTTTCCTTGATATCTTAAAATCTGATAGGTTTTACTGATGTTAAAGAAAGTACAGTGACCTGTAATTAAGTCTCCCAAACGAAGTTTGGGAAGACTTATTGTTTTTGCTCAGTTCTTATTATTATTATTATTCTTCTTCTTCTTCTTCTTCTTCTTCTTCTTCTTCCGCCGCTTTTAAATTTGAACTTGTCCGCACCTGTTCTCCAAAACCGCTTGTCAGATTAACTTAGGGTTTCACAATATGTTAGACTAACATGTCTAGTGGTGCAATCAGGGTTTTGTTTGTGCAATGGGGTTTATAAAGGGGTACTTTGAGGGGCAAAAAGAAAAGAGGGTTTTACTATAGAACCCTATGGGATTTTATTTTTTAAAATTTTCAAATGATTATAAATTGAAAACCATTTGTGATAGACACAATCTTTTTAATTGAAAATGTTCAAAATGATAAAGCCCATTAAATGAAATACAGGGTTAGTCCCTAGGGGTCACCCCCACCCCCTGCCATTTAAGAAAGTTCTAATACCTTGTAAGTGGTCAAGATCCCCACCCCTAAACCATATATATTCTGGTTTGTCATGCTAAGATGGTTTGAATGATATATAGGGTTAGTCCCCAGGGGTCATCCCGACCCCCTGCCATTTGAAAAAGTTCTAATATCTTGTAAATGGTCAAGATCCCCACCCCTAAACCATATATATTCTGGTTTGTCATGATAATGCACATCAAATGTAATACAGGATTAGTCCCCAGGGGTCACCCCCACCCCCTGCCATTTAAGAAAGTTCTAATATCTTCTAAGTGGTCAAGATCCCCACCCCTAAACCATATATATTCTGGTTTGTCATGCTAAGATGGTTTGAATGATATACAGGGTTAGTCCCCAGGGGTCATCCCGACCCCCTGCCATTTGAGAAAGTTCTAATATCTTGTAAATGGTCGAGATCCCCAGTCTTAACCATATATATTCTGGTTTGTCATGATAAAGCACATCAAATGTAATACAGGATTAGTCCCCAGGGGTCACCCCCACCCCCTGCCATTTAAGAAAGTTCTAATATCTTGTAAGTGGTCAAGATCCCCACCCCTAAACCATATATATTCTGGTTTGTCATGCAAAGATGGTTTGAATGATATACAGGGTTAGTCCCCAGGGGTCATCCCGACCCCCTGCCATTTGAGAAAGTTCTAATATCTTGTAAATGGTCGAGATCCCCACCCCTAAACCATATATATTCTGGTTTGTCATGATAAAGCACATCAAATGTAATACAGGGTTAGTCCCCAGGGGTCACCCCCCACCCCCTGCCATTTAAGAAAGTTCTAATATCTTCTAAGTGGTCAAGATCCCCACCCCTAAACCATATATATTCTGGTTTGTCATGCTAAGATGGTTTGAATGATATACAGGGTTAGTCCCCAGGGGTCATCCCTACCCCTGCCATTTGAGAAAGTTCTAATATCTTGTAAATGGTCGAGATCTTCACCCCTAAACCATATATATTCTGGTTTGTCATGATAAAGCACATCAAATGAAATACAGGGTTAGTCCCCAGGGGTCACCCCCACCCCCTGCCATTTAAGAAAGTTCTAATATCTTGTAAGTGGTCAAGATCCCCACCCCTAAACCATATATATTCTGGTTTGTCATGCTAAGATGGTTTGAATGATATACAGGGTTAGTCCCCAGGGGTCATTCCGACCCCCTGCCATTTGAGAAAGTTCTAATATCTTGTAAATGGTCGAGATCCCCACCCCTAAACCATATATATTCTGGTTTGTCATGATAAAGCACATCAAATGAAATACAGGGTTAGTCCCCAGGGGTCACCCCCACCCCCTGCCATTTAAGAAAGTTCTAATATCTTCTAAGTGGTCAAGATCCTCACCCCTAAACCATATATATTCTGGTTTGTCATGCGAAGATGGTTTGAATGTTATACAGGGTTAGTCCCCAGGGGTCATCCCGACCCCCTGCCATTTGAGAAAGTTCTAATATCTTGTAAATGGTTGAGATCCCCACCCCTAAACCATATATATACCTATTTGTCATGTCTCGAACATATGAATGACGTATAGGGCCAGTCCCCAGGGGTTCCTCCCCACCCCCAATGTTCTAGTATCTTGTAAATGGTCGAGATCCCCACCCCTAAACCATATATATTCTGGTTTGTCATGCCAAGATGATTTGAATGATATACAAGGTTAGTCCCCAGGCATCACTACTGCATATAACTTTACTGGACCAAACCAATTTTCACTGGACGTTGCCCAATGTCAGGCGACCCTGGGAATTACGAATTATGGGAGCTTCGTTTGGGAGACTTCGTAACAGCATCCTGTTACAATCATTTCTTGTTACTTTTATCTTTATCATTTGAACTCTGGTTGATAGTTGTCTCATTGGTAATCATACCAAATCTCCTTATTTTATAAAGATATGCCATCAACAGCCAATTTTCCTAAGATCTCAAATGAGATTGTCCAAAATTGTAGTAGACAGTCGACCTTTATGTAGTAGTAGTAGATCACTTAATACATTGCACATATCTTATATTTTAGGTTTTAAAGTTTACCAGGTGGCTTGGTCAGCTGACAATAGACTGTTGTGTAGTGGTAATTCATTGGTACACATGTTTTATTTTAGATTATAGCTACACTGAGAGGTCACTGAGACTTTGAGATGAATAACAGCAATAAAAGTGCTGTAGCTCTGTTCCTTTGCTTTTAGTGTGTTTTTATACGACCGCAAAAAAATTTTGAGGTCGTATATTGGTATGACGTCGTCGTCGTCCGAAGACACATTGGTTTTCGCACAATAACTTTAGTTTAAGTGAATGGATCTCTATGAAATTTTACCATAAGGTTCAATACCACAAAAAGATGTTGGGATTGATTTTGGGGGTTATGGTACCAACAGTTAAGGAATTAGGGGCCAAAAAGGGGCCAAAAATAAGCATTTTCTAGTTTCCAGACAAAAACTGTGGAACGGTGTATGGATCTCTCTGAAATTATACTACAAGTTTCCATACCACAAAGGGATGGTTAGGATTTGCTTTGGGGGGTTATGGCTCAAACCGTTTAGGAATAAGGGGCAAAAAAGGGGGAAAAACAAGGGTGTCCTGGTTAATGGACAAATACTTTAGTACAAAACATAATTTAAAGCAGTGTAAGGGAGGTAATTCTTTCCTAATCTCAATTCAATTTTCCAATGGAGTTTGAAACCATAATTACCCATTTAAATTTACCATAGTGCTAACTTAATCTATTTTATAATAGAATTTAAAATATGGTGTCAAATCTTTCATATGGATTTATTTGTAAAAAAAAAAAGATGCAACATTTTACTGGTCTTCCTATTTATGCATTTTTTTTAAACATAATTTAAAAGCAGTGTAAGGAAGGTAATCAAAACGTTGTATTTGGATTACCTCCCTTACACTGCTTTTAAATTATGTATAAAGTAATGGTTAATGAACAATTAAGACAATTTAAAAGCAGTGTGAGGGAGGTAATCCAAATACAACGTTTTGATTACCTTCCTTACACTGCTTTTAAATTATGTTTAAAAAAAATGCATAAATAGGAAGACCAGTAAAATGTTGCATCTTTTTTTTTTTACAAATAAATCCATATGAAAGATTTGACACCATATTTTAAATTCTATTATAAAATAGATTAAGTTAGCACTATGGTAAATTTAAATGGGTAATTATGGTTTCAAACTCCATTGGAAAATTGAATTGAGATTAGGAAAGAATTTTTTTGGGGGAAAAAGGGGGGGGGAAAGAAATTGTGGGGGGGGGGGGTCAATTTTTTCTCATTTTAGATTTCAGAAATTAAAAAGAAAAATTCTTCAAATATTATTTTTTTTGCAAAAAAAAAAAGTGTGTGTGTGGGGTGGGTAGGGGGTTAATTGGCAACAGCATAGTGTATTGCACAAAAGCAAAAAAAAAGGGGGGGTAAATTTTTTATTTTTTTTTGTGGGGGGAGGGGGGGGTCAATTCGCAGCAGCAAAGTGTATTGCACAAAAGCAAATAATTGAATATAAATTCAAATCATATAACCAATTCTAAGTTCTTTGACTACAGTTATTCTGTGTCAGAAACCTTTTATGTGTCAAATATTTAATTACAATCCAAATTCAGACCTGTATCAAGCTTGAATATTGCGTCCATTTTTGCCCCAACTGTTCAGGGTTGGACCTCTGCTGTCGTATCCAGCTGCGCTCGGCGAAGCAATTTATTTGCTGTTCATGTACTGATTTTGTGTCATGGATGGATACCCCATATCCAAAAATGTTTTTATAGTGTATACCAGGTTGCTTGGTCAGCTGAAACTTGTTGTGTTGTGGTAGTTCATTGTACACATGTTATATTTTAGGTTTATAGCTACACTGAGAGGTCATGTGAATAGAGTTTACCAGGTGGCTTGGTCAGCTGACAGTAGACTGATTTGTAGCGGTAGTTCTGATTCAACATTAAAAGTTTTTGATGTAACAAAGAAGAAAATATTGTTAGATTTACCAGGACATGCTGATGAGGTATGTGTTTAATTAATCAGAATAAAGAAAAGGAGATTTTAAAGGGTTTCCAATGAAACAACTATCAATTGGAGTCCAAATGATGTTGATGTAATCAAATATAGGTCACTTGACTACCTTCAACAATGAGAAAATCCATTGTCAGCTATTAAAGACCCCAAATGACAAAATGTGAAACATTAATTCAAACAAGAAAACTAACAGCCTGATTAACACCAAAAGCTGATATGATAGACAGCAACCTATTTGTATGAAATTTGCAATTTTAAGTAATTAAATCATTTTAATTTTAAACTATAAACTTAAGTAAACTTTTTATACGCCTGTCAATTTTTGACGGGACGTATTATGGTATACAAATGTCCGGTGTCCGTCCGTCCGTCCGTCCGTCTGTCTGTCCGGCGTAAACATGTCGCACCGTAACTTGAGAATGACTTATCCAAATTTCATGAAACTTAACATAGTTGTTTCTTATGATAGTCAAACGATCTGTATACTTTTTGGTGAAAATAAGATTAAAACTTTTTGAGTTACGGAACTTAGTAACTAAAACAAGTGTGTGTTTTTTTTCACATGTCACGCCGTATCTCAAAAATAATTTATGATTATTGCCAAAAAATTTAACACACTTCTTAGTTATATTAATCTTGAGATCTGTATACTTTTTGGTGATGATTGAAAATTTTATTTTAGAGATATTGAGTATTTTGTTAAAAAAGGGGGAGGGGTTTTTCACATGTCACGCCATATCTCAAAAACAGTTTATGATTATTGCTTAAAACTTTACACACTTCTTAGCTATATTAACCTTAAGATCTGTATACTTTTTGATGATGATTCAAAATTTTATTTTTGAGTTATTGAGTATTTTGTAAAAAAAGGGGGATGGGTTTTTCACATGTCGCGCCGTATCTCAAAAACGATTTATGATTATTGCTTAAAATTTTACACACTTCTTAGTTATATTAATCTTAAGATCTGTATACTTTTTGGTTTTGATTTAAAATTTTATTTTTGAGATATTGATTTTTTTTTTTTAAAAGGGGGGTTTTCACATGTCGCGCTGTATCTCAAAAACGATTTATGATTATTGCTTAAAATTTTACACACTTCTTAGTTATATTAATCTAAAGATCTGTATTCTTTTTGGTTTTGATTCAAAATTTTATTTTAGAGATATTGAGTTTTTTGTAAAAAAAAAAGGGGGGTTTTCGCATGTCACGCTGTATGTCAGAAACTATTTATGCTTATTGCATAAAAATTCACACACAAGACGACGGGCGTATCATGCACTCATGGCGCAGCTGTTTATTACCAAAGCAAGTACTAAATTTCTTGTGTTCATGCTGCAATCAAGTGATACTTGTTACTTCTGAATTGAATTAGACAGAGAGAAAAAATGACACCAATCTTTTAAATAAAAAAAAAAGAAAAAATATTTTTTTTCTAAATTTACAAAAAAGCAAGAAAAATGTCAGGACCATTGGATAACTATGTTGATTTTAAAGAGAACTATGTGTACTCCCCAGAGTAAGAACTAAAGCCATATCAATGTTTTGACATTACTATTACATTTATCTATTTTTAAAGGTCTATGCAGTTGACTGGAGTCCGGATGGACAAAGAGTGGCAAGTGGGGGTAAAGATAAAGTCCTTAAAATGTAAGTTGATGAAAGTGTTATTTTTATAAAGGTTTCCAACATAGTCAACTCTTTTCAAGATTCACCTGATTCTGAGTGATTTAAATTTTGATTTGCGGTATTGCCACTTGTCTATTGTTCAAGTCCACAATAAGTATAACAAGAAACAATGTCCAATGATTTGGCAGACGAACAAACATTTATGGAAAGTACCACAATGATTCTTTTTTGTCTGTATGAAAGAGTTTGACTATCAGACAAGCTCAAAAGTGAAATAGGCGTAGTCCTTATGCAAAAACAATAGAAATTATATATTTTCTTTTATTTTTATACGCCCGTTTACGGGACGTATTATGGTATACCGTTGTCCGTCTGTCCGTCCGTCCGTCTGTCCGTCTGTCCGTCCGTCTGTCCGTCGTCAACATGTCGGACATTAACTCAAAATTGCTTAAACCAATTTGCATAAAACTTTGGTGAATTGTTTATATCTATTGACGTGAGCTCCCTTTCGTTTTTTATAAAATTTAGATTTTACGTTTCCGAGTTATGGGGTTTTATTCATTAAAAAAAGGGGGATTTTCCAGTTTTCGGACAATAAGTCAAGAATGCTTTCACCAACTTGCAAGAAGTTGTGGTGAATTGTTTATATCTATTGACATGAGCTCCCTTTTGATTTTTATAAATTTTAGATTTTACGTTTCCCAGTTACGGGGTTTTATTCATAAAAAAAGGGGGGACTTTCCAGTTATCAGACAAAAACTCACAAATGCTTTCAGCAATTCTTATGAAACTTTGGTGAATTGTTTGTATGTATTGATGTAAGCTCCCTTTAGAATTTTATAAATTTTACATTTTACATTTCTGAGTTATGGGGTTTTATTCATTAAAAAGGGGTGATTTTCCAGTTTTCTGACAATAACTCAAAAATGCTGTCACCAATTCTCATGAAACTTTGGTGAATTGTTTATATCTATTGATGTAAGCTCCCTTTTTATTTTCATAAATTTCTAATATGACATTGAGAATTAATTATACTTTATTTGTTTATAGTCTGACAACAGATTTACTAAGTATTGCACAACAGCAAGAAATCTTTAATTGAACATAAATTCAATTCATATAACCAATTTCAAGTTCTTTGAATACATTTATTCAGACACCTATAATATGTCAAATATTTAATTACAATCCAAATTCAGACCTGAATCAAGCTTGAATATTGTGTCCATTTTTGCCCCAACTGTTCAGGGTTGGACCTCTGCGGGCGTATCTAGCTGCGCTCAGCGAAGCAGTTTATTGAAATATGCTTAAAGCAATATTTGTCCTTTTTAATTACTGACGGAACGCACAGCATCTATATTTATACTGTATGGTTGTTGTTGTTGGTCGAACAAGTTGAAAGCCATTGAGGAATTATCCAATATGACAGCTGGGTCTGTGTCTATCCAGATATACCATGTTTCCTTTACCATCAGCATTTGCAGGGGTTGTAGTTTCATAGCATGTCATTCGTCTGGTAGTAATGAGGACTACAGCAAGAAAACGTATATCTGTAGAGGTCACCATGGTGATTCCTGTTCAGATGGAAATGTTTAAGAAATCCGTTATATGGACATGACACATGGTGACGATCTAAGTAAATATTAAGTCCTTTTCCATCACTGTTATATGGTGTATTAAAAGTAGAAGTTTGACATCTGTATAATTTTGGAAGATTGCAACAGTTCAGGTTATATCAAACACGATTGTGACCACTGTTTCTAACTAATTGAAATGATCTCATAGCAGACAATCCACAGTTTGGACTTTGACGATCAAGATAAATAGTATGACCCTTTCCGTCATAAGTGAACCATGTTTCAGTGTTGTGGCAGTGTCCATAGTAACTTCGTCGAACCCGACTTGCATCTGATACTTTGCCATGGATGTCAGATTCTTCTTTCTCTTCTTCATTTATATAATGCTTCTGTTTCAATGTGTTCTTGGCCAGGACGCTATTGATAAAGACTGCTGAAACTATCAGCATGATTCTTACAACAGACATCATAGTAATCTGGAAAATAGTAAATAATAAATAAAGTAATTAAACTATAAATTCAAAAATTGATGCCAAAAATGTCAATGGGATGTTATGCCCTGTTTACACAAGTATTTGGGCTTTATGTTTTGTGGTCTGTGCATCTGTCTATTTGTCTGTTTTGGTTTAATGTAATTATCATGGTTATCACATATTTAATATTTGACATCTTAATTTGATTTAGAATGATAAAACATCATATATACAGATATGTAATAGAAAGATGAAATTTACTGATTCATTGACATTTGACCTTGAGGAATTTTCAACCCGTTGATATATTTGACATTTAAAAACGGGACCCAATCAAGCCGTACTTCTGTTTATACCTTTATATAGGAAGAGACAAATGTGGATTTTGCCGTATTATGGAATATACTGTCTTTCATTGCAGAAGAATCTACAGGAAATATTCGAAAATATTGAAGTAGTACTACATAGATTCTACATTTTATTCTGTCAAAAACGAAAATAAAACAAATGTTTTTCACACCTAAATGCAAAAGAATGGTCTCTTATTTTGAGAATTTCTTATTACTTTAAGTAATCTATTCAATTAACTGAAGCAAATAAATATAATTATTAAAATTATTATTATTATTATTATTATTATTATTATTATTATTATTATATTATCTTACCTTATTATGCCTTTAAACATAAACAATTGTTCTGTACCAAAAACAACCTTGTTGTATCTTAAAATTAGCATCATTAAATTGTAATATAGAACTTGATGCAGATGTTCACACTTCCTAATAAATTAAATAAACATACACAAACATGCATGTTATTGATGATATCAAATTTTTAATTCCTGGAAATTTTGAAATTGATTTATTTATGATAAAAAAAATTGGCACGAGAGTGATGTAAATTTGTATTATACTATTGAGTTGTTTCCACTATGTTTAACAAGTTCCTAAAAGGTCAAGGTCAGTAGCAGTGCCTTTTTACTGGGTTGATATTGATTGCTGAGATCTAAAGTCTATTTGTATTGTTTTTATTGTTTTTATGCCCTAAGAAAAATTAAATATTCTGAATGCACATCTGGTAAAACAAAAAAACTTGGGTATCTTGTAGTTAAGGAGTTAGGGTATTGTACTTGAAGAGTTGTCACTGTCAATTAAAGTTCTTGACTAATAACATGAGTAATGTAGAGGCTGAGTAATTGTAAAATGGTCTTTGTATTTTTAAACACTACTCTAATATTAGGGTCACTCCTGTCTCTGATTTTGTGAGTCAAGCTAGATGATTTAGGGAGCTACCATTTGATTTTTATGGGGGGGTTAGGATGAAATTTGAAAAAAAGGCAGGACAGGAGTTTTAAGTAAAAAAAATAGGCAGGATGAGCAACTTCGCAAAAAAAAAATTAAGGATGACAATTTATGTAAAAAAAGTCAGGATAAACTAATAAAAAAAAGAGGCAGGAACAAATAGAGTGGAAAATAAAAATGCAGGACACAGATTACAACTAAAAAAAATGCAGGACAAAGGTTTTCATCCTACACCCCCCCCCCCCCCCCCCCCATAAAATCAAATGGTAGCTCCCTTAGAGCTTGGTATTTGTCTATAATTGAAGATTGTATTTTGCCTTCTAGAAGTCTTTTGGTTATTTTCTGTCACTAGGTTGCTGTCTCATTGAGGTATCCATTACATCTACAATTATATTATAATGTTATTTAGCATTGTATCACATTATTATTTTTTATATCAATTTAATTAGTAATACAATAAAAATGAAGTAAATATATTTTTCAATCACTAAAAAGTGATTTGAATATTCAGTTGCTTGTGATAATGTATAAAATACAGTAATTTTGGTCAGAACTTTTATTTGAATAATTTTATTTAGAGACTTTGAACCTGCTAAAAATTGAGGTAAAAGTTCTAAACATTTACAGTAAAATCATCTAAACATTTACAGTAAAATCATCTAAACATTTACAGAAAAAAAAGAACCCTTTGATTAATGTTTTTTTTTTTGTATGCGATGTATGTGAATAAAATAATCCTGTGGATCAGATTTCTTATATGTAAATTTGGATTATTTCCCTTTATTTGCTAATTTCAAATTAATTTTATGACTTTAGTTTGAGTAAGTGATGAAAGACTGGAGAATTAATCACAGCACTTAAATATAAAGATCTGTATTTAATGTTGTCTTGACTAGTTCTGTTTGTAGTAGTGTATCACTTTGATCTTCAGGATATTTACTTTTTGTAAAAAAAAATTTAGTTGATGAAAGCTGATAATGACATATGACTTTTACGATTTTCTTTACAAATGTTTATACTTAAGACGTAAATTGATGTATAATTATGAGAAATGATGACTGTTTTGATCATTTTTATGCCTTTTTGGTCTTTTTATTGGAGAGTTTCTCTTTTGGTCATCAGACAAAGTGACAACTTTGTTCCGCAAATATGTTTATGTGACGATAATTGGCCAGGCACGCTACATTGATCTGAGATAAACAAGTGTTTCATGTATAAATACAAAGGTTCCATTAAAGTTCTTGATGGCTCTGTACTGGCTTGTGATGAATAAGATATATATCATTTCTATCTACCCATGCATGTCTAGTTATATTGATAAGACCCAATGATCAAATATTCAATGCCTAATTTTCGGGAACAAGATAATATTTTCCCAATATTAATTTGGTTTACGTCAGTTCAGTTGAATTACAAATTAAGTTAGAAATTTGAATCATTATGATAACAACTAGTCCTTGTTTGATGGAAGTCTGTGGTTTAACAATAGAAAATTAGGGTGTGTGTGGGGGGGGGGGGGGGGGGAGAGATATGTATCTGAAAATTTGTATTCCTTTTTTTGACTCTGTCAGGTCTGCTAGATTGTTGGAAAATTAAATATTTCCAAATAAATCAAGCTTATTTGTAAGAGTGATGAATGTCGGATGTCAGACAGAAGAAAATAACTGCAACCAAAATATTTTCAGAAACTATTGATCAGAATGGCTGTATATTTGTTCAGCAGTTTGACAGTGATTGCTTTTTATGTTATAATCCATATTAATTTGTGTATCTGTTCTATACTTCCTGAAAAATTTTGTCGTGTAGTTGTCTACTCTGCAACAGTATTGTCCCAGCTTTGTATAATCCATGACAATGTGTGTCCCTAGGTGAGACCATGATTATATGTGTGCCTTAATTTTATAATCCATGACAATGTGTGTCCCTAGGTTACACCATGATTATATGTGCGCCCTGATTTTATAATCAGTGACAATTTGTGTCCCTTATTATAGACCTAGATAATAAGTGCCCTAATTTTTATACGACCGCAAAAAAATTTTTGTGGTCGTATATTGGTATGACGTTGGCGTCGTCGTCGTCGTCGTCCGGCGTCGTCGTCTTCCGGCGTCGTCGTCCGAATACACATTAGTTTTCGCACTCTAACTTTAGTTTAAGTGAATGGATCTCAATGAAATTTTACCATAAGGTTCAATACCACAAAAGGAAGGTGGGGATTGATTTTGGGGGTTATGGTACTAACAGTTAAGGAATAAGGGGCCAAAAGGGGCCAAAAATAAGCATTTTTGTAACTTCCAGACATAACTTGTGTGTAAGTGTATGGATCTCTCTGACATTGTACCACAAGGTTCCATATCACAAAGGGAATGCTGGGATTGATTTTGGGGGTAATTGCCTCCAAATTTTAGGAATTAGGGGCCAAAAAGGGGCAAAAAACAAGCATTTTTCTAGTTTCATGACAATAACTTGTTTGTAATTGTATGGATCTTTATGAAATTGTACTACAAGGTTCCATATCACAAAGGGAATACTGGGATTGATTTTTGGGGTAATTTCCTCCAAATTTTAGGAATTAGGGGCCAAAATGGGGCAAAAAACAAGCATTTTTCTAGTTTCATGACAATAACTTGTGTTCAAGTGTATGGATCTTTATGAAATTGTACTGCAAGGTTCCATATCACAAAGGGAAAGCTGGAATTGAGTTTGGGGGTAATTGCCCTAAACGTTAAGGAATTTGGGGCCAAAAAGGGGCCAAAAAACAAGCATTTTTATACGACCGCAAAAATTGAAAATTTTTTGGTCGTATATTGGTATGACGTTGGCGTCGTCGTCGGCGTCGTCCGGCGTCGTCCGAAGACACATTGGTTTTCGCACTCTAACTTTAGTTTAAGTGAATGGATCTCCATGAAATTTTACCATAAGGTTCAATACCACGAAAGGAAGGTTGGGATTGATTTTGGGGGTTATGGTTCCAACAGTTAAGGAATTAGGGGCCAAAAAGGGGCCAAACATAAGCATTTTTGTAACTTCCAGACATAACTTGTGTGTAAGTGTATGGATCTCTCTGACATTGTACCACAAGGTTCCATATCACAAAGGGAAGGCTGTAATTGATTTTGGGGGTAATTGCCTCAAAATTTTAGGAATTAGGGGCCAAAAAAGGGGCAAAAAACAAGCATTTTTCTAGTTTCATGACAATAACTTGTGTGTAAGTGTTTGGATATTTCTGAAATTGTACTACAAGGTTCCATCTCACAAAGGGAAAGCTGGAATTGAGTTTTGGGGTAATTGCCCTAAACTTTTAGGAATTGGGGGCCAAAAAGGGGCCAAAAATAAGCATTTTTCTAGTTTCCAGACAATAACTTGTGTTCAAGTGTATGGATCTCTCTGAAATTGTACTGCAAGGTACCATACCACAAAGGGAAGGCTAGGATTGAGTTTGGGGGTGATGAATCATAAGGGGGTTCAAAAAATTTGGGGGGGGGATTTTTTTTTTTCTTTTTTTTTCTTTTTTTCCTTTTTTTTTTTCTTTTAAAATTTTCCATTTTAAGTTGGTTATTTCTGATTTATATTTAAAAGCAAATAATAATGATATGGTAGGAGATACACACCAAACAGGATGTGTAAATTATTATATAATAAGTATTGTGCAATAGCAAGAAATTTTCAATTCCACAGTATTGCACAATAGCAAGAAATCTTCAATTGCACAGTATTGCGCAATAGCAAGAAATTTTCAATTGCACAGTATTGCGCAATAGCAAGAAATATCCAATAGCACAATATTGCGCAATAGCAAGAAATTGTCAATTGTACAGTATTGCGCAATAGCAAGAAATATTCAATTGCACAGTATTGTGCAAAAGAAGATACTTCATATAAATTGCTTATTTCTTGATCAATTTCAATGGGGTTTTATTCTTGAATTCTTGGGGTTCTTTAATATGCTGAATCTAACCGTGTATTAAGTTTTTGGATTTTGGGCCCCGTTTTTAAATTGGTCCACATTGAGGTCCAAAGGGTCCAAAATTTAACTTTGTTTGATTTCATCAAAAATTGAATTATTGGGGTTCTTTGATATGCCGAATCTAACCGTGTATTTAGATTCTTAATTTTTGGTTCCGTTTTCAAATTGGTCTACATTAAGGTCCAAAGGGTCCAAAATTAAACTTAGTTTGATTTTAACAAAAATTGAATTTTTAGGGTTCTTTGATATGCTGAATCTAAACATGTATTTAGATTTTTGATTATGGGCCCAGTTTTCACGTTGGTCCAAATCGGGGTCCAAATTAAACTTTGTTTGATTTCAACAAAAATTGAATATATGGGGTTCTTTGATATGCTGAATCTAACCATGTATTTAGATTTTTGATTTTTGGGCCCCGTTATCAACTTTGTCCACATTGAGGTCAAAAGGGTCTAAAATAAAACTTTGTTTGATTTCATCAAAAATTGAATTATTGGGGTTCTTTGATATGCCGAATCTAACCGTGTATTTAGATTCTTAATTTTTGGTTCCGTTTTCAAATTGGTCTACATTAAGGTCCAAAGGGTCCAAAATTAAAATTAGTTTGATTTTAACAAAAATTGAATTTTTAGGGTTCTTTGATATGCAGAATCTAAACATGTATTTAGATTTTTGATTATGGGCCCAGTTTTCAAGTTGGTCCAAATCGGGGTCCAAAATTAAACTTTGTTTGATTTCAACAAAAATTGAATATATGGGGTTCTTTGATATGCTGAATCTAACCTTGTATTTAGATTTTTGATTTTTGGGCCCCGTTATCAACTTTGTCCACATTGAGGTCAAAAGGGTCTAAAAAAAAACTTTGTTTGATTTCATCAAAAATTTAATTCTTGGGGTTCTTTGATATGCTGAATCTAACCATGTATTTAGATTTTGGATATTGGACCATAATAGGTGAATGTCCAATTTGAAATTTTTAAGTTCTTAGACCACATTCATTCTGTGTCAGAAACCTATGCTGTGTCAAATATTTAATCACAATCCAAATTCAGAGCTGTATCAAGCTTGAATGTTGTGTCCATACTTGCCCCAACTGTTCAGGGTTCGACCTCTGCGGTCGTATCAAGCTGCGCCCTGCGGAGCATTTTATTCTAGTTTCCAGACAATAACTTGTGTTCAAGTGTATGAATCTCTCTGAAATTGTACTGCAAGGTACCATACCACAAAGGGAAAGCTGGGATTGAGTTTGGGGGTGATGAATCATAAGGGGGTTCAAAAAATTGGGGGGGGGATTTTTTTTTTCCTTTTTTTTCTTTAACATTTTCCATTTTAAATTGGTTATTTCTGATTTATATATAAAAGCAAATAATAATGATATGGTTTAAATAGGCATACATGTGAACCTCCCGACGGGAGTACAATAATCCCGTTTTCAGGGGTCTCCTCCCGACCTCCCGTTGAAGAGGAAAAATTCCCGTGTATGAAATTTTTCATGAATGAAAAATTTCTGCCCAACATATCATCTCAGGCATCTGGTGTAACTGACATTACCTGAAGTTATATTTTACCTGTAAATCAATTAACATGCATAATTATATGGCTTCACTTGTCAGCTTGGGTGTCAAACATACTGGTAATCAACGATTTTTACCTCAGGCTAACTGCCGTTGTGTAACAAAAACTGTGTATTTATTGGGTTACTTCCCTTGATTTATCCTGTTTTAAGTTACTTTCCTTTTAATAATGAAAATTTTTAAAAGAATATAAATAAAATAAATTGAACAAATAATCATAAAAGGATGGTTATTAAATGATTTTAAATGTCTTAGGACAAATAAAAAAATAATAATATGAAAATTATTTGAGGATTCTATACTTCCTTTCAAGGCTTAAATTGAAATTTATATAATAACTATGACCCTAAATTTACAGATAGAATGATTTTCTGAGTTTGCAAATAAAAACTATTTGCAAGAGAAAAAAAAAAAAAAAAACATATTTGCAGATAGCTAAACAAATGTTCTGGTTGCAATGATTGTTTTATAGAATATGAAGTAAAAAATTTAAAGAACATACTGGAAAAAAACAATGTTAGATTGAACATGTAGAATATAAAGATGGAGAAACTTTATAAGTACAAGGGTACTATAAACATAATAAATTGGATGGAAAGTTGAAGAAAACACACTTTAAAAGACCATTTTTACAGCACACGGTTACATTTACAACAAAATTAATGTCGATTAAAAACCTCCTGATCTGAGTCCTAATCTCCTGACCAAAATTTCCCAATCTCCTGATCTGAGTTTCAAAGTCCATCACATGTATGAATAGGTAAATTGAAAATTTTTAAGTTCTTAGACCACTTTCATTCTGTGTCAGAAACCTATGCTGTGTCAAATATTTAATTACAATCCAAATTCAGTGCTGTATCAAGCTTGAATGTTGTGTCCATACTTGCCCCAACTGTTCAGGGTTCGACCTCTGCGGTCGTATCAAGCTGCGCCCCAGCGGAGCATTTTATATAATCTATTACAATTTGTCAGACCTCTTTGTAATGAAGTCCTATAACCAATGACAATTTGTGTCACCATGTTAGACCAATCTTTAATAAACAATAATCTATGACAATTTGTGTTCCCATGTTAGACCTCTATGTGATGAGGTCCTGTAATCCATGACAAATGGTGTCCCCATGTTAGACCTATTTGTAATAAAGTCCTATAGTCCATGACAATTTGTATCCCAATGTTAGACCTCTTTGTGATGAAGTCCTGTAATCCATGACAATTGGTTCCCCCATGTTAGACCTGTTTGTAATAAAGTCCTATAATCCATGACAATTTGTGTCCCAATGTTAGACTTCTTTGTGATGAAGTCCTATAATCCATGACAATTGGTGTCCCCAATAATCGGTACCAATGTTAGACCTCTTTGTGATGAAATCCTATAATCCATGACAATTGGTGCCACCGTATTAAACCTCTTTGTAATAAAGTCCTATAATCCATGACAATTAGTGTCCCTATGTTAGACCTCTTTGTAATGAAGTCCTATAATCCATGACAATTGGTGTCTATATGTTAGACCTCTTTGTAATAAAGTCCTATAATCCATGACAATTAGTGTCCCTATGTTAGACCTCTTTATAATAAAGTCCTATAATCCATGACATTTGGTGTCTATATGTTAGACCTCTTTGTAATAAAGTCCTATAATCCATGACAATTGGTGTCCCTATGTTAGACCTCTTTGTAATAAAGTCCTATAATCCATGACAATTGGTGTCCCTATGTTAGACCTCTTAGTAATAAAAGTCCTATAATCCATTACAATTGGTGTCCCTATGTTAGACCTCTTTGTAATAAAGTCCTATAATCCATGACAATTGGTGTCCCTATGTTAGACCTCTTTGTAATAAAGTCCTATAATCCATGACAATTGATGTCCCTATGTTAGACCTCTTTGTAATAAAAGTCCTATAATCCATGACCATTGGTGTCCCTATGTTAGACCTCTTTGTAATAAAGTCCTATAATCCATGACAATTTGTGTCCCCATGTTAGACCTCTTTGTGATGATGTCCTTTGAAATGCAGTGCTATAATCCATGACAATTGGTGACCCAATTTCAGCTTCCCAATTGTGAACTTTCCATTACTATGTAGCATCATTCCAGCAGCGCCTGCTTACAGAGTTTATATCTCCCAGATTGATACGATATTCCAGGGCTTGTATTTCCTATCATGATTTCCTTTATAGAGGATTGCTGGTCACAAGGAAGCTATTAAACCAAGAGTTCCAAGTGGTGAAGTTGAAATCATCCCTTTGTAAATTTTACGGACGCCATCACGAGTTGGTTGACTGTTATTGAATATATGTTTCACAGATGATAGCGGATATGTTCCAAAGGTCGTAACTACAATCCTGTCCCCTTTTCCCCGAATGTGACCTACTGGTTTAGACTTATTACTGGGTTTGTACTAACATGAGCAACACAACTGGAGCAGGATCTGCTTACCCTTCCGGAGCACCTGAGATCACCCCCAGTTTTTGGTGGGGTTCATGTTGCTCAGTCTTAAGTTTTTTGTCTGCTGATCTTTTTTTGTTTTTAGCCATGACATTGTCAGTTTATTTTCGACTTATGAGTTTGAATGTCCCTTTGGTATCTTTCGCCTCTCTTTTAGACCCTTTGTGATTATGTCCTTTGAAAAGAAGTGCTATAATGACCATTGGTGTCCCCATGTTAGACCTCTTTGTGATGATGTCCTTTGAAATGAAGTGCTATAATCCATGACAATTGGTGTCTCAGTGTTAGACCTCTTTGTACAAATGTTGTAATAAAGTCTTATAATCCATGACAATTGGTGTCCCCTTATCAGACCTCTTTGTAATAAAGTCCTGAATAATTAACTGAGGTAAGAGGAAGATGTTTTTGACAATTTGTCATTATTCATTCCTAATGGTTTGTTTATATTATATATAAGGGATACAGATGTCTTCTGTAATGTTTATATTGTCATCTTATGTTTTGATAAGGTGTAAATATTTCTAGTGAAGATTCCTTTGCATATAACATGTATAATTATGCTTTTGAATAAGGTTCAGAAATATTTGGCTAAGAGATGGACCAAAGTTTAATTTTGATAAAAGACTGATCTTGTTGTCAGTTTTTATAAGGCACAGAAACATCAGGCTGAACATATGTTGATCTAGCTAAGTGTCTGGAGGTATCATCAGTTTGATAAAGAGGTCCAGAAATATTGTAGCTTAATTATGAATCTGAGCATTTATTATCATCCTATAGCTTAATGTCTGAATCTCACCTAGCTGAATCAAGTTGTAGTAGTCAGATTTAAGTGTACTGTTTCAGGGCGCTGTGTCAACAATTTCTTAAATTTGTGATTAGATAAATTTTCAGGAGAACTTCTAATGGTACGTAAATGATATTTGGTATGCAGTTTTTTTAGTGTTAATGGCCCATCTCATTTCCATAGAGATTATTTGACCTGTAGGATTTAGAATTAATGTCATGACAGTAAAATCCAGGGCTGTATTTGGAAATCTTCAGGAGTGTTTGATAAAATAATAGAAGTATAATGTCATCATTTGAACAGAAACAATCACATTGATAAATAATTATTTTGGTTTAAATGTTTTTTTGTTATTTCCAGATGGAGAAGATAGAGACAAAGACAAACAGAGACTTATAGTGCAATCTTTACACATAAAATATTTTATTATATATTCCTGCATTTGTTGTATGGCCTCCTGTATAGCCGACCATGCAAGGGCTGTATAGCCAGTCAAGGTCGTTAAAAACTTCCATATTTGTTGTATGGCCTCCTGTGTAGACAGAGGATAAACCTGATGAAAGTATATGCCTAATGGTACAGTTAGAAAGAGATGGTGTGGCCTCTTTCATAAGTTGATTTCATTCATTATCAAATTTTGTATGGGTTGATCTTGGTACAATAAACAGGCTGATTTCTAAATTCTTTCCAGTGAAAATATAATTTGTTTTGTGCCTATTATAATTTGTTTTGTGCCTATTATAATTGCTCGTTTAAATAAGTAAGAATATGTATATTAGAGAAAGGTACAGACTTTTCAGCCTCTTGTTTTATAATACTTCAAACAATGAATCGACCCCGTAATTTTCTGTAATAACATGTTCTAAATGGGAATATTGTGGGTTTATAAATATTTGTAAGTTTTCATTTTACAGGGATTTGTTGGAAACCACAAATTTTATTTTAATCAATTTATTAAATTTTATTTTTATTTTGTTAATACTTTGTCTTTGATTGCAGCATTAGGTACCCAAAAAATCATCTTTTTTTAAACCACAAAAATTTATATTAATAAAAAAAATCTGAATCCAGGCAGTAAGGGAAATTTATACATTTTAATAGTTTAAAGGTGTAATACCACCAAATCATAGTACGTCACATCCGGTTGCATACGAAAATAGGTCGAAAAAAAATATTCCCTTGAATTTGACAGTTGTAGGTAATTGATCCTACATTTCATTGCAGTAAAACATTTCTGGGTCATAAACATATATCTTGGGTATTTCAAAGCACCATTATTTTTTTATTTGGGGTTTCTATAGAATATTTTGGAAACTTGAGGTTACATGGTTACTAAAGCTTGTATACAGGTTAAAAAAGGGGGAAAATTTGATTGGTTAACTTCCAGTGATGGTTATTTTCTTATATGCAATGAAATGTTATGTGAAATTTTTTCTATAGTACTGGACAGGATCAAACTTTACTCATGCCAAGTATTTCTTTATTTGAAACAAAGATAAATTCTGCACAATTTTTTGAAAAGTGCAAATTTAACAAAGACTAATAGGGGAAAATCAATGGTGGTATTACACCTAATATAGGAAGCTGTACATGCACCTTTGACCTTGTGAGTACTCTCATGTGTTAAAATTTCTTGCTATTTAAGTGAAATTTTACTAATAATGAAATATTCTGAGTGGATTGAGTCTCCAAAACACATTTTATGAGAAAATTTCCTTGAAATAGGACTTTACCATGAATATTAGTTGACAGAATAAGCCATACTTAGAGTTTTGAGGAGCTTTTTCTCCTTTTTTCTTATATTCTGCTATACTAGAAAAAATTTTCCTAAGAAATACTTTAATAAATATATAGTTTTAAGTAAATGAAATTATTTTTAAAGCAGTAACAACAAATTATTCACCAAAAGAGAAGCTTTTTATGTCCCTCTCTGGAACGCGGCGTAAATTTAAGTTTTACGTAAGGACTTATTGAAACCTCCTTGGAGACAGTAAACTTTTATACGGATAGTTCATTCAGCTTGAATACTTCAATTAATCATTTATTATAACATTTCTATCATAAATGAGTGAAAGTTACCCCAAAATTTTTATTTATTGGCCTATAAAGTAGAAATTTTGAGGAAATGAGAGGTATAAATGGACCAGAAGAGACCTTATAAGGAAGACAAAGAGGTCCATTGGTAGTATTTATCATCCTAAAGTCATCTTTTGTATCATATTCAACTGTTTGTAGGCAGATGAGATAAATATTTGATCATTTATTGGTCCACACTATATTCTATCATGATGCGGCTTGGTTTGGATTTTTCGAAGAAATTTAGCTCGAATCGCTGCAGATGTCGTCTTACATTATACTAGATTTTTCTCAAACTATTGAACTGATTATGACAAAACTTGACAGGAATGCTTGAAATAACCAGTATAACAAAGGAAAAAAGTCACATTCAGTTTATTTAACAAAAAAGTCTTCTTTAGGTGTAATACCACCAAATCATAGTACGTCACATCCGGTTGCATACGAAAATAGGTCGAAAAAAAATATTCCCTTGAATTTGACAGTTGTAGGTAATTGATCCTACATTTCATTGCAGTAAAACATTTCTGGGTCATAAACATATATCTTGGGTATTTCAAAGCACCATTATTTTTTTATTTGGGGTTTCTATAGAATATTTTGGAAACTTGAGGTTACATGGTTACTAAAGCTTGTATACAGGTTAAAAAAGGGGGAAAATTTGATTGGTTAACTTCCAGTGATGGTTATTTTCTTATATGCAATGAAATGTTATGTGAAATTTTTTCTATAGTACTGGACAGGATCAAACTTTACTCATGCCAAGTATTTCTTTATTTGAAACAAAGATAAATTCTGCACAATTTTTTGAAAAGTGCAAATTTAACAAAGACTAATAGGGGAAAATCAATGGTGGTATTACACCTAAAGGACTTTATTTTATATTAATTGCATCTCCCTCAAAACAAAATTTAGCTGAGAATGATTTGGCTGTTCTGGTTAGATTTATTAGGCTCACAAATGTTTTATGCTTTTGCTTGTTAGACAAGTCTTTATTATTATACTTCATGTCAAAATGCCAGATTTTGATTGGTTAATATGAGTCAGACAATTTACTCTATCCCATGGCAAATACTCTATTACCCTACACAGAGACGCTTGCTCAAGTGTGCGCTTTAATAAATACGGATGATTGTTATGTACAAGACGACATAGTTTATTACTTTGAATTGAAATTTAATGGACAGTAATAACAGAACATTCAGTATAATAAATTAAATAACACATATCTGAGAGGGTGATAGAGCAGATTGTTACCCCTCGAAAAGATTTATATACTGTTAATTCAGAAATTATTGCATACATTTATTATTGGGTTTTTCAAGCACAGACAGAAAAACGAGATAAATTATTGCGATTTCAGAAAAATTTGAATACAGATATCTGTATCATTTACCTGAATGCAAGTTCTTATTATTGCAATACTCACCCAGTGGCATTATTCGCATTAATAAAAACCTCGCAATAATTTCTGAATTTACAGAAATGCTTAGAAAGGATAACAGGAATTACATGTAAGTATTTGACAGTACAACAACAGACCCCACCAACCATGACTCCCCTTAAAAAATAAAATGGGTACAAACAATGAACAACACATGGTCCAAAAACCTGGAAACCGGATTTTACATATGAACAAAATGATATTTCATATTGCTGCTGAAGATAACTTTATTACATTATTACAAGTTTTACATATTGGACCCCACTCTATAAGTAGTGTTCTGTATTGCAATCACCTTGTCAGTTTGTTTGCCAGTCTGTGATCTGTTCAACAAATATTTTCATCACAATTTTAATTTAAACTTGCACCTATGGGTCATGTATGTTGCTGCCAACACTTGTCGTGTGTAGTTGTAAACTTTTAAAAAAATTGTGTCCTCTGACACCATCTGACCAAATTCAACCAATATCAACGAAACATGAACTGAGTGATCATTGGGGTGTTTAGTATAAAGTTTGTATTTTCAATCAAAACTGCCTCGGTGGTCTCAAAGTTTGTGTTTTCAATCAAAACTGCCTCGGTGGTCTCGTAGTTGAGTGTTTGCCTTGAGTGTGGGAGGTCCTGGGTTCGAAAATTGGAATTTGCTGCTTCTCCATTAAGCACGTGGCATTAAGAAGTAAGAGCAAAGACTGGTCAGCTCGGATTCAGATTACCAGTAATGTGTCCGGGTAAGGTGACTTGAAAATTATAAATAACGATTTGTTTACCCTTTTTTGTATTGTGTGCAAAATCTAAGGAAGAGAAAGAAAAACTGTAAACAAAAATTGATCAGCAATACAGAATCAACAAAAAGATTTTTATAGCAAGCCATTTTAATATTTATTCTATCTTCAAAATATCTAATAAACTTTATAAGATATCTCATATAGTTTATATGATATTTTATATAGTTTATAAGATATCTTATATAGTTAATAAGATATCTCAAAAATTTTCTTTATAAGATATCTTATAAATTATATAAGATATCTTTTAAACTATATGAGATATCTTATAAACTATATGAGAGATTCTTATAAAGTATAAAAGATATCTTATATAAAAAATATTAATAAGATATGTTCAAAACTTTATAAGATATCATATATACTGTAGAAGATATCTAATAAAAGGTATTTAAGATATCTTAAAAAGTAAATAAGATTTCTTATAAAGTTTATAAGATATCTTATAAAAACTAGATTATATAAGATGTCTTATATATTAAATGAGATATCTTGAAATTAGAATAAATAGTAAAACAGCTTGCCATAGATTTTTGTTATGAATTCTTGCCAGCAATGGTGGAGAGTCAGTGAGAGTCCATTGTTACTATATTGCACATAGACGTAAAATCTAAAAAAAACTGTAAACATCAAAACTGATCAGAAATACAAGTTATACAAAAAGGCCAATATGACAATATAAAAGAGAATAGTGTTGTCAAGGATTTGTATTTCTATACAAATCCTTGGTGTTGTATTGCTAATCACAGACCCCAAAGCTGAGCTGAATAATTACATTAAATGAATATACAATGATTACAATGATGTAATGAACAATTGGAAATAAAAGCCACAAAAAAAAATCAAAATCAAATCATTGAAACTGAAACAATGATTTTGACTAATTTTCCATTTTTGCCTTGAAAACTAGTCCATAAAAGATAGAAACTTTTAACAGCAAGTATGATCAGCAATACAAAATGAATTTTATCAGTTGGATATTTTATATGGTTGCATAATTTTAAGAGCATAAGCATGATCCTTTAAATATTTGATTCTAACTTACTAGACTCTTGAAGAAGGGTACGAGTCTACTGTTTTGGCAAAAAATGGTGAAAATTGCTTTTCAAGGGCAATTACTCAGATA